TTCTATGGAAAATTGTGTGAACTGGATGGCAACGGCGCATCACTGCAGTACTTTGTGTGGTTTGAGCAGTGCTCACAACAGCTTCGATACTCGTGATAAAAAGCGGAGTCTCTTTTTTTTTTTTCCACGCTCCGTTTGTCGCCAACCACCCGCTGTAAGTGCTGCTCACTTTAATGTTTGTGATAAAGTGATTACTACAGTCAGACGCTGAAAATGACTTAAACTGAGGAAAAACAAAACTGAGATGGAAGGATTTTTGGAGCAATCTTGGCAGCAAATGGTTATTTGTAACCTTCATCCATCATAGTAACATGGTTTTAATGTTGTAAGCCATTACCTGCTTTCTTCTGTTGTTCTTTGATAAATTGCACCATAAAATTTGGATGTTAAACGAAAGAGAAAAGTGTTCTCACCACTTTAAATGGTATTTGTGAAAAACTATGGTGCTATACTAATCCAACCCGGTATATTATGCTATGTGAAACTATAAAATACTATATAATACAGTATGCTATGCTATGTTCGGCTACACTACCACATGCTACGCTATATTGTACTATACTATGTTATACTATATTATGCTATACCACACATAAAACAGTCCTGCTTCTCAAAAAACTTTGGACGTTTTCTGCACATCAGTAAAAGTAAATCCTCTGTATGAAGCCCTCTTCTTTGATTCATAAAGCTTAAACGTATCCATCTTCTATACAGGTTTGTGCCTTGTAGAGTCTGGGGTTTTTGTAGGGTACGGATGCCAGTCCATCACCGAGGAGCACAAAGACAGAAAACAGACATCCATGCATGCACACTTCAGTACACTTCATATTTTAGTTCTTCTGAGGGGAAAATACATTTATTTTCCTTTTGGCATGGAACTTTTAAAGGATATGGAGCTTTAGCGGATATTCTTACCCACCTGAAACTATCATTTAATACAGTATTATGTTTTCACACTTATGAGATGTGATGTAATTTGATAAAGTACATTTTCTGTGTTTAAAAAAAGGGGAAAACAAATTCCATTTACCTTGTCTAAATGATAAAACATGCTTTCAGTTTGTACAAAAATAAGGGCTTTTAACATCCTTTCACAGTACAGAGAGATGGCACAAGGATGAGACAACAATGCATCAGCAATCATGGCAATCCTAAACAGCGGGGCTATTAACCAAGTGTGCGAGATGTTCTGGAGGAAGCAACACTGCTGTGATTATTCGCTGATGTCTCACACCTTTCCGTCAAACCTTTTTACTGCTCAGCATTGTTCCCCAAAGACACGACAATGGCCACTATCTGTTCCCTGGAGTGTCGGACATCTGTGAGAGAAAGAAATGTTCGCTTTCCCTCCACCACTTCATGTGTTGCCAAGCTGGGAACAAATAAAGCACTGTTCTTCAGTTCTGCTGCTGCTCTGAAGTCAATAGACTCTCCTTGTTTATAGACTCATCACTTAATTGTGGTCATTCTCTGCTGTTTACTTGCGATGACTGCAGCTGTCAGGCCAGTGGAGAGAGAACGTTCGCTTCTGGACACGTCCAAGGGTTGTAAAGGTTATCTCTCTGTTACTTCAAATTGTTATTGTTTCCCAGTCGAGGTAAATGAACAAAGGGATGCTTTACACGGTTACATCTGAAGGACGCGGCAAATAAATGAGCTTAAATTCACAACAGGACTTTCCTCATGATGTTGTTTTTGAGAGGCTTTCTGAGGTGTAGTAGCCTCAAACAAAGCCACTTTAGCATGAGTGCAATGTATGCTAACATTGCTCAGTGCGATGCAGATTTAGAAATGTATGTGCCGAAGTAACTCTGTGATTACTTGGCATCTTCTCCTTAGGGGTGCTGTCTGTTTTGGAAGGTGTTGATTAGAAAGTAGCTCCCAATTTGCAATTCAGGAAGATGCTATTCTCACTTTGGCATGCATGTGTTGTAGCTGCGTCACAGTAGGAAGGATTGTTGGAAATTATCTTCCACTTTGGGACAAGTCGATTTTTTTTGTTTGTTTGTTTTTTACCTATCATTTAGATTTTCAGCTTCCATTTTAATTGTATGGCTCTACAGGTATTTTGGAAATAAAATGCCACAATATAGATAGTTGCTGCTGGTGCTTTTTTTTTTTTTTTTGGGTCAGATTTACATGCTGAAGATCATTAAACACATTTTAAAATCAGACAAATCTGTTTCTTAATGCTTTATTAAGAAAAGATCAGCATTTCCAGATATGGAGCAAATGTCAGGGATTATCACACTGCTTTGTCTGCTTTATCAAGATGACAAAGCAGGTGAATGATGACATATTCAGTTCCAAATTACAGTTATACTTTATATCTTTCAGTTACATCCAAAATTTCAGAAAGTGACCAGATTTAAAATGACCCTCCTCCACTGCAGCATGCAGTTTAGTGCAGCAAGGCACTTTGCAGTATTACAATCACTGAATGTATTGGAGGAGGCGTTTGGCCCCGGTCCTTGGTCTCAGTTTAGCCGTCTGTGCTAAAGAGGCTGCACGCTCCCACAATAACACCGCTGACGTCACTGGCGAAACATCGGACTTGTGATGCCTTCAGGCTCTAATGTCAAGCTCGGAATTTGGGCTGCATGTATATTTAGCATTAAATGAATACGAATGATAAAATCAAACAAGTGGATTGTTTTTGATATGCGGTTGGGGAAACAAACGAAACCCATAGTAATGAAAGGATAAAAGAATAAACAAATCTTATCTCGGGGAATCGTCTGTGAAACACAAGTTAATGTTTAAAGTTTACTGCACATTGGTTTAAGTATTGTCAGTTTAAGTCGATATTTTGATACACATTGTCAGTTCACAGTAAAATTATAAACCGTGTCCTGGAATTGCTTTTCTGTACGTATTCCAGATCCATTCTGCAAATGTGAATGATTCTGGACTCATCAGAGAAATTAATACTGGATGGAGCATTACATTGATCAATAGAGCATCTGTCAAACAGAAACAACACACGAGTGTTGTTGTGAAGTAAAGCACCTTTATTAAAGTTGAGTTTATCCACGTTTAAGCTATAATATTTTCTATTTAAATGTAATTCATGAGTTTATGCATCAGTAACATGATAACAGGTAACGACAAAAGACTAGAGAACTTTTCTGATCCAAACAAACAAGAGGAAGTTTCTTCACCTGCAGCTGTGCTTTATGAGTTTAACTGCATGTTGCATCATTGCACAATCAGTCAGACAGACAGATGACAGCTGGCAGTTTTCTCAGTAAACATCTGCAAGAAAACATGCTCGGCAACATGCATTCTTTTGACCATGGAAATTTCTGTTAGAGCGACTGTGTCAACATTACAGGGACGTCAACAGATCCCCTTTAGGTTGTTGCATTTGTTTAAAACAATGATCAATAATTATCACTGCATGAGAAATAATAATAAAAAAAAACCTGCACTAAATCATTGTCAGCTGGCTTGAAACAGTTTGAGGTGAAAATGTGTGACCCTTTACTAAGATTTCCAGTTGAAGTGATATAATAGGATGACATTGTTTTAGGGATAAGGCTATTAGTTAAAAATGTTATGAGACGCATTCCCCTCATCCTGTTGTTTGAAAGACAAATAAGAACAAGCCTACTGAGCTGAAACACACACTGAGTCACTATTTGATAATAAAATCTCAGGAAGGATGTATCAATCCACTTCACACTTGTCAAACATATGTTGCAAACCTAAAATGCTGACCTTTTGCAAATCACTCACACAGTTATAACTGAATAAAATTTCTACTTCATTTGTTACAGTTTGATGTGGAAATGTGTCATCTTTGACAGTTTTTCTTAACGTTGTCAGCATTGCTGCTTTGTTATTTTTTGTCTTTGTGTATCTTATGACTCAGTTCTCATCTCATTTCATTTATTTAGTTATTTTTTTCCCCTTGTGTTACTTTTTAGCTTTCTGTTTTCTCTACTATCACACTTTAGCAACTCAGTATAGGAAACTTGGTTACGCCCAATGAAATAATTAACAAATTTATTTAGCCAGTTAGTGATTTATCATTTTTAAACAGTTTTGGGGCTATTTTCTGTATCTGTAGATTTACCTTTTGTAATCCACTGATAAAATTCGAAGCCATTAGATAGGCTACATTCTTCTGTCTCTGATTTTTATCTTGTTTATGTCTTTGTGGAAAAAGAAACCGGTGCAATGTGAATTCCTTCTTTCTCACAGATCACAGAAAAACTATTGGTGTAGTTAAATTAAATTTGTTCCTGTGTACATTTTCATATATTTTGTTGGTTTAATAACTGACAGAGTCGCCAACCCTCACTCTTCAGAAATGGACCTCAACATCTTCCTCTCTATATTTGAGGTTTTTGATTTTACACCATGCAACCAGGCTTTCTACTTTGCAGCAGGTCAATGAAGACAACCTCAAAATGGATAAGAAAAAGCCAAACAAAGGCCATTGACGCTCAAAAATCATCCAATGTGGCTGATTCGAGATAATTATGCTGAGGCCAAAATTTCTCCAGTCACCTAAAAGAGTCGCTGCTAGTATTGCAAATGCTACACTGCGCCTCTTGCTTTTAATTACTTTTTTTAGAAATTAATATTAAACTGTCTGATGATCCACACACTGGAATGTGATTAAAAAAAGCAACAACTAGACAATTTTATTGGAGGTTTCATTTTTTTTCTGTACACAAAAAAACTCTAGACAAATTTTCAATTTTACATTTAAATTGCCATTGGTTACTGTGCTTCAGCCGTTGTGGAATCAGTAAAAGGTAAAGTAAAATTCAAATACATTTTCTAGAAAAAGACAGGGAAATTATTACATTTTGAAAATTATTTATTACTGCAAGTCTTTATTTAAATTACATATTTTCTCTACTTACTTGTCTAGCATTTTGATATTCAATTAAACTGTAGCCACTCTAACGAGTATGTAAACCGTGGTGACTGGTTTGTGCGGACACGTCAGTGTGATTTCCGACAGTCCGAGAACGCAGCCGGGAGAAAACTGCGAGAGAATCAGTGATTGAAGAGAGAGCAGAGCGGCGGTAGCGACGACGGCCATCTTAGAGCTACCGTGGTAACCGACACTCATCTCCTGGATTTTATTTTTCCTGTTCAGTATAAACGCTCCGGCCTGACTGACGAGGACCGAAGAAGGCTGTGTTTGACTTCCCCGCGGCCGAACTCAAAGTCAGGATGCGGTTCCGAGGGAATAAACAATTTGCATCCGCAGTCGGACTGGTCCTCGGACTATTATGCGCGGTGGAGGCAGCTAAAGGTAACTAAGCTGGGATTTATCTGAGCCCGTTGCGTCTCTGTGTGTCTGTGTCTGTGTGAGCCTCTGACAGGCTCGCTTCTGCTTGGGACTGGCGGCTGCCCGGAGCCTTCTGGTTCCGTTCGGGAGCCGTGAAGGTGAAATAGCGGAGGTATAGCCGGGCTGACGGATGCCCGACCACTAACCTGCTCAGGGATGGTGGGTCCAGTCTGGAGCTGCAGCGGATGGATGTGGCTGGTGGCAAGTGCATCCCCGCGATAATAATAGACCCGCACAAACTCCAACAGCAGTAACTCTTATTATTATTAATATTATTATTATTATTATTATTATTAGCAGTTTGCGACATTTAATCTTAAATATCATCAGATAAAATAAAACGTACAAAACGACCCCTTTCTGTTATCTCCATCTATTTCTATTTTTGGGTTGCTTCGTTCTCTTTTTTTTAAAATCAAGAATAAAACAAGCCTCACCCTCTCTGCAGATTTTATAAATTATTATTACTCCCTTGTTGCAGGTACTAAATGTACTCCGCTTATTTTATATCTATATATATATATATATATAACAGTTCTTATTTTATTTGCAGCATTCATTTAGTGTGACATGTTTGTGTTTCCAGTGTGAGGCCAAATGATTGGGTTGTGGTCCCATCGCGGCGGGTGTTGTTGGGTCCGCTACGCACTGCAGATCTTATTCACATGTCCTTGTTTTTGTCTGTGGATGTAAATATTTATGAGCCAAGGAGCTCCAGCAGAAAGATCTGCGCCTACTTATGAGTAGAAACTGTACAAAGTCGAAGTGCTGCTGCTCCCTTCTTTTGCAGCATGTCTTTATTTGCTGCAGGGAGGTCCTCCTCCCTCCCTCCCTCCCTTCTCTTCCTCCCTGCTCCTCCCTTTTCAGAGATAAACCCCCCTCCACCTCCACCCCATGAATTTATAGACTGCTTTTATTCTTAAACTCAATGCTCTGGATCTCCAGAGCGAGCTTCCTGATCCGGGGTGTGTGAGAGGCAGGTGTATGTTAGTCACTGGACGTTATCAGCAAGCCTGGGCAGCTATCCATTGTTAGGGCTTAAAATATTGTGGGGGAAACTTGATTGTGCAAATTTGGAAATTAGGTGTGAACCGGAGGAAATGATCCCTGAAAAGAAGGCTGTTCAATCTGGAGACAGAAGGAGCTTCCTTTTATTTATCCAGTTTTTTAAAAAACATACACGTATGTTTGAGCAGTTTGCAAAGCACCATTAGCAATGATTTAATGTTGATTATGTTTGTTGATCTCCCTTTCTTGGGCCTCAGAGTGAAGTCAGCCCGCCCAGGGGATACCGTCTTGTTTTACAAGTTTCATATCTTGTACTTAGTTGGACTTTGAATTCAGGTCAACTCCGGGAAGGGAAGATTTAAATACAAATACATTTCTTTTTAAGAAAGGGAAACCAGTCGATTGAAATCAGATTTGGTCTGAAAAAAAAAAAATCTCAAGATTTTATTTTTAAGCCATATTAGGGCCACCATTCTGCCTGTGACAACCTCAGGGAAACGATATGTTTTACATGTGTTTCAAAGCACCTTTGGAACCAGTTATCAGATTGATTTCCAGTCGCATTTGACCCCAATTTCACTCTGCGCTGGAGAAATGTGTTGTGCGGTTGAAACGGTCATGACAGCAAATTAAATTCTCGCTGTCATGTGATTAACCTGTTCATTCTCCTGTCAAATTTCTTCAGCCGCAAATCCATTGTTCAAGCTAATGATACTTTTCATGGAATCACCAAGTTCATGAACAATCTGGAAGGAAGTTGACAATTTGTAGTCTGGTTAAATAGCCTAAAAAAAAAAAAAAATTAGTGAAGCATGTTTGAATTTATAGATTTTACTTCTTATCTCAGCATCTAAAAGATAAAATTCAGAACCTTATGAAATGTGAGGTGCATTTACATTAATTTACAATCAGATCATGTGTTTCATCTGCGATTAGCCATGTTAAAACTTGTGTTCTTGTCCTACTTTTATCATTTTGGGTTTATTACTGACAGAAGATGATGAAGAAAATACCAAACTGAATGGCTAAACTCAAAGGTAGCCATTTAGGGAGTGCTTTATCCTTGCCTATCTTCCTTTTTTTCTCCCCAGTTTCCATGTGAAACACCTGAGAATGCTCAGCAGTAACTTCATTCCCTTTGTCATCCATTAAAAGGCCACGAAGACCAGTAAATACTTGGTGCTGTGCAAAACGTGCCAGCATCCCAGTTTGTGTGTACAAAGTGCACCTGCTGCCTTTCCCAGCTCTTATCAGGAAAGAAAACCTGTGAAATCAACTCTCCGTGGAGGGCTTATCTTTTATTAACCAAAGGTTACCTGCCTATTTTGTGCGCCGCCTCATGGCTTGTTGTCCGTCTATTTTTTATTTTTTATTACCAGCCATCTGGCAGCGAGATGAAGAAGCCAAAAACTCCCGAGGGTTTGTTTCCCTTGTGGTTCTTGGTCTTGAAAGCTTGTTAAGAAGTGATTGGATGCCAGCTCTATATGAAACAGATTGAGCTAAAGGTTCAGTTTACATGTTTTGGTAGACATCAGAGTTTGTATTTAGAGTGTATGAATCATTTCAGCGCCATCAAGAAAATGTCAGAGTGCAAATGAATTTGTCTCGCGCTGTGCTGGTCAAAGTGTTCAAACTACCGTTCCCTGCTACGCCGGAGACACTTTTGGTCATTAAAGTGCTTCTTGCTTGTTTTCCAGATGTCACCCATGTCATTTATTTCCTTTTCTGTACCCACGAGCAGCTGCTGGGCTTGTCCACCGTGCTCTCGACTCAAACGTTAGGTCTGCTGCAATGCCTGGGCTTCTGCTGTGCAAACAATCGGACAAAGGGAACACTGGCTGCTGGGAAGTTTTGTGGCTCATTCATCACTGAATTAAGTTAATTCCAGTCAAACAAATTGGATGCCCTGCTTTGTGAGGCGTTAACATATGGGTTCTCCTCACATGGCTGAAGCTTATTAAAAACTCAAGTAAGATGCTTTAGTTTTCTTTCCAAGCCTCAACACGTGGGGTTTATTTAATCTTTATCAAATTCTTTAACCAAACTAAGTATACCTCACTGCTTTATCAAAAGTCGGCCAAATGTTCCCTTGACTTTCTTTGGTTATTTTGACACTTGGCATGTTGAAGATTGAAAAAAATATCTTATTTTTCAAATTATCAGGTGCTTCAGCACAGCCTACGATTTTTGGTTTTCATGTACTTTGAGAAACTTTATTTTAGGTCAATAAAAAAAAAAAAAAAGGTTTTGAAAATGTAAACAATATAATTTTTTTATTTTCCAGAGATTGTACTCTAAAGAAAACCGTAAATAACCGTCGGCCATAGAAAACTGGATCGGTGCTTCTCTGTAGATCACAATGAAGCTGAACCTTAATATTTCATACATGTATACCAGGCTTTCCCTCAATGTATTATAAGCCTGGCGGGCCACCAGACTTTACTTGTGCCCCCACCAGGCTTAGCTCTGCCTATTTATTTCAGTTATTTTAAATGTTTGCATTTTTTAAGACTTTATGGTTGGTGTCCAGATACTAATCTTCCAATAACATATAATCATCATGTGATATTTTCAAATTTCCTGTCAACTTTAAAAAAAATTTTAACTCAAAAACACGATGGGCTGCTGGATGAATGACTACCGAACCCCTAACCACCGGGCTTAGCAAGTTTTCTGAGGAAAACCTTGTTTAACTTTTACCCATCTTTTTTATACACTGATAATAAATCAGCTGGAAAATCCCAGGAACAAATGATATATATATAAAAGACTCCACAGACCTGAACAACCCCTTCAGTAGTGAAGGGAGCTCAGGTTTCTTATGTGTTGCAGAAAGCCGTCACTTAAGCCCCGTTTAAGCCTCGAAGCTATTGCTGATCTGTAAGTCATCGTTCCGTGTTGTGGCGATTAGAAACTGCGTGAATACACACGGCTGACAATGGCCGCATTGTTCGCCCCTCTCATGCCACTCCAATGACAATGTTGTGTGCTGTCATTCTGCATCAGTTTACATATTTGTTTTTCCTCTAAAATGACAATGTTAAATGTCGAGAGGATAAGGGTTAAAGGGTTAGGGTATCTCCCTGAAGAACAGGTCTGCTAACATTAATGTAAGCCAAATGAGGGAAATTGCAGTTTTTAAGAAAGCCATCATCGGCAAAAACTTGAACTTATTTAGGAAATTTTAAATATTTTGTCAGCAGTGGGAATAATCAATGCTTTTTTTTTGTAATTAGATCTTATTAAATACAGTACATCAATACAGTGAAATCATTTTATTTTACTTTAATAACAGCCCGTGTCTACGTGGCATCTCTAGCAAAAACACACTCTTTACAAAATTCAACCATCTCAGGAGATTGGGGGGGTGGGGGCGAAGTCAAATGGAGTTCAGGAAGAAAACCGCGCACAAAGCTGAATAACAGGTTTAAACTCAGGACTTTTTCTGTGCTTCTTTGTTGAAGCTGGTAACAAAAATAATTGTATTTAAGAGAATGATAAAAAAAAACCCAATGGTGCTGAGGATAGCTGATAGAACAACTGCTTGGTAGGTTGTAGCTATATTCAAATGAAATTAAAGGATCTTTGGTTGTTTCAACAAGACTCTGTTAAATTTAGATGTATGTTTGTTCTGAATTTTATCCCAAATTGTGCTTGAAAAGTAGGACATGAATGCGTCACATAAATTTGGTTGAAAGCTGGTTAAAAACAATCATTGTTTCCCCTGTTTTGTTTTTTTTTAAAATTTGCTCTGAATAGCAGTTTATTTACCAGCAAACACTGTGCTTCACATGTCAGGTCTAACATGTTTCCCAGCAGCGTTTTCTCTCAGTGAAAGGCTTCCAGGGCTGGACTCTTGACTGAGCAGCGTGTAACAGTGTGGTCACTGTTTGAGAGATCACAACTCAAGCCCCTCAAGAATGTGCGTATTGGATAATCCCCCAAGTGCTAAGATG